CGAATAGGAAACTGCAGTGTAGTGTTATGAAATCGAGTTTATTATTCGTAATGATTAAATTAAATGCCCATCAAATCATTTTTAATATGTTAAAGAGGTGGTATTTTTTAAGTTTCAATAAAATTGCTTCGGACATAAATAGACGATTTTGTTGATTGATGATGAGTAATATCTTTCACTTATCTTCTATGAAATAAAAGTGAGAAGCTAATAGATCGTTAAATCAATTAAAAAGTCATTTTATCTAGACACCTTAACAACATTTTGTAACTATTATTTTATATAATGAACGTCATAACTAAAGTAGGTTTCTAATACGTCATAATATAAATCGATTACAAAATCATCTTCACTTCTTTGTATGCTGTCATCTGTTTCCAGAATAAAGTTTTATTATTATGATAAAATTTGCTAAGCAAGTAGGTTGCAAGTCTTTCTATGCATGTTTCTGTCTTGAATTTTTTTCAAAATGTAATGCTTTTTTTTTAATATTATGATATTTTTTCTTTTCATGCCATTTTATATTCAGAAAAGAAATGTAAACGTCAGAACCTTTTGTAAGGTTCGCTTTAGATAATATATTATTTTTATGTTAACTCTTTTCTGTAATTTCTATTTTTTTTCTCAGCCCCACCCGAATACAAATAGGATTTAATAGTGAGCGAATCTTTAATTTGGAGAGAAAGCTTTGGGAATGCAGAATATATCTGTGTTTTGATGAATGATTTCTTGCATTTTTTTAGCTCTTGTGCTTAAAAATTGTTGTATATATTTAAGCATATTTATTCCCAATAAATTTCAATTATATCTACAAGATGTACTATTAATACAGTAAATTTATACCTCATTTCTGTGTTTTTAGAGTTTTAAACTTCTAGCTGAGTGAGAAGATGTCATGCACCTTTTTATTTATTTTAATGTTTCTCAACAATAAAGATTTTGGCAATAGCAGATGGTATTTTCAGTTAAAAAAATCTGATGTGTACACCACATGACTTCCTTGTACGGAATATTAAATTATACACATTTTTTCTTGCATTTTATTTAAACTTATTAGATTGAATTAAACCTACTTCGCCGACAGCGCATAAACCATAATAGAATAAATGCGTTCTTTAAAATTCACTTTGTTTACCATAGCGACACTCTGGCGCTAGGTTTTTTACTTAACAGTATTATATTTCATTCATATTATAACTCAGAATGAACAAAATTTTATATCATTTAAAGAATTATCTAATCGTTGCCACATGTTCTATTCAAATACTATAATAAAGCTAGAACTAGGTATAAAAGAAAATTAAGCAAACAAAAACAAAAAAGAAACAGTTTTTCACAGACGATTGAGTATTTCTCATTTAATTAATTCATTTCTCAGTTAGCAAGAAGGCAAAACTACATAAAAACTCAAAATATCTATATTAAAAATTACGAAGTAAATTTCAAACGCTTATTTTCTCGAAAAAATTCCAGAAAGAATTAAGCATGATTTAATTGGCAATAATAAATGAATGCGTCATCTTTGTTGTTGCGAAGCTAAGTTTCTCTAGATTGGCAACAAATCCACTAGTCTTCTGTTTCAAACATCAATGGCCGCCATTAAAAACAGGCTTAGCGGCAATTAAACAACTTTAAAACTGCTGATAATTCTAAAAATACTGCACACAAATTTACCAAAGGCGTAAAATCCTTAACCGGAAGATAAAAACAACATAATTCAATCATTTTTAAAGCAAAAAATGCACAATTTACAAACATATAAGAGTAAAGAAACTGGTGTTGGTGTATTTAATTATGGCAAAGCACACGAGGGCTATCTGCCTAAGAGGAGGGATGCCTTCGTGGAGGACTTTCTAAGGGAAACTGGCTCGTATACACGTTACACATGGGGAAAACCACGAAAACGCCCATGCAGCCAGCCCGTTCGCGGGATTCGAACCTCGGACTGAACTACCAGTGTTCAGCGACTTTACCGCTCGGCCGCTGGTGGGCCTGTAAAGAAACTGAGATCACTGAGCCGGATAATAGAGGGGATATATATATATATAAATATATTTATATACGTTTGGTGCTGCCGATTGCAACCAAAATACGAGGTGCACATCTACATGTTATAGCAGTCCTATATAGAAAATGTCAACGTTCTGAGGCTACTCGTTTTCGAGTTATGCGAGATACGTACGTACGCACGCACGTACGTACATACGTTCGTACAGACGCCACGAAAAATTCTCTTCAGAATTCATTTTAAAGCAGTTTTATAATTTTTTTGAAGGAAAAGAGTATTTTATTCTGTCCTTACGTACAGATATCACGCAAAAACATCGTTAAATTGCATTCGATAGCAGTCAAAATGGATATTTTCGTTGAAATATGCTGCCTGAAACTTTTCGCGATTACAATACTTCCTTTTTACTTCGTACAAGGAAGTAAAAAGCAAAATTTGAACGTATTTTATATTTATTTATTTGCTTATTTATTTTTTATTTTCGATTTGCATTTATAAAAGTATGATAAACAGATAATTGTCATTAACCGTCCAAGCAAATTCACGGAAAACCTTGCAGTAAACATTGAAGAAGAGGAGTGAAAAGAGAGTTCGATGGTTCGCAATGCATCATAAAAATCTTACATTCAAAAAAAAATCATTTAAAAATAAAAAAAAAAAAAAAAAAGCTTTAATATTTATTTGGAACTGTCAGGAGAATGGGGTGAAATTTCAAGAAAAGCCGCTTTTAAAATTTGGCTCTGGAAATTTCAGTTTTTTATCATAAACTTTCACAATATTATGCATGTTGTCAGATTACACTAAATACCGTTTATAAAATTTGTTTTTCACAATATTCCAGACATTTTTCTACTTCAATAACATTCAATTGTCCGCATAATGTGCTTTATTTTGAAAGATTTTCTCACTTAAAAAGTTCGCACTAATCTTTCGAGGAACTTTTTCTGCTTTCTAAAAGAGATATTTTTCTGTATTTAATTTACCAATTTGAGCTAAGAACGGAAGTCATCAATCTTGTTTTCAGAATTTTTTTCCCCCTGTTGTTATGAATGGCTCTCCACTCCCAGCAGACTCCTTCCTAATATCACAATGATTCCAGATCGCTAGACGAATTAATCACGTAAGTTTTGCCCATTTTCTTTTACAATATGTAATACAGAAAACAGAACCATTTAGAACAGGAATAATTTTCTTTTAAATTTTTAAAAAAGTTATCTTTTATTTAATTTGAAACTCATAAAATAGTTAACAAAATAAAATTAAAGAAAAAATTTATTAATCAATTTAATGGGAACAGAGATTAAATAATTCTCTTTACAAAATTATCAACAATTTTATATCACGAATAATAACAGCGTGGGGTGATTTTGATGAATTTATAAAAATAAGGACTTATACTATTGACAATACAGTTCAATTAACAGATTTCGTTATTTAGGCCCCACGTTTTTATTTTTCGTGATACAAAATTATAGATGAATTTTGTAAAGAGAATGATTTAGTCATTTGTTTCTATTAGAGTATATAATTTATTTTTGTCAAAATAATACAATTAAAAATAATATTAAATTAACACTTTAAAAAATCAGAAAGCCTCCAGATTTTAAGTTAAGTCCAAAGGGGCGTTTTTTAACATTTTGTGTATTACCTTTATTTATTAAATATGTTCTTCGCACTTAAACATAAAATTCAGTTCAAGACCAATATCGCAAAATAATTTTTAAATGAGTATATCTTTAGAATTTCCGATACACAGTCTCGCGCGCTGAAGCTAAAAATGTTTTTTCTGTACAACGTTGCCATTGCTTGCTTTGAAATCCTTGAGTTCGTTAATCAAATTCGTTAAAGTTTTACAAAATATGAAATCGATAATAAAACAAATTTGGGGTTTCCAGATGCCCATATCCGGGTGGAGATGTACGTTATTCAAAATTTGGTGGCTCTAGGTACCGTTGTTTTATCACAACACGAGAAACATACATACATTTATGCAGATTCTTCATTATTTAATTTCTTCAAATATAATACAGGGCGATAACATTTGGTGGCAACAATGTGAAAAGTGAAATAACGCTTGTAGTGAAACGACGCAAAATGCCAAAACGAAATTAATAGTCGCAAATTACCCCTTTGGACTAAAAATAATATAAACACATTTAATTTAAAAAATATTAATAAAGTTAAAAAAATAGTAATATGTTAGTAAACTGCTTTAAGAACGATATTTTTTTGGCGGGGATGATGTTTCAGTTTAAGAAGTTTTTTTAGCCCACAGGGGCTGTTAATTTCCGCTTCGGCATTTTATTTTGGTTCACTATAAAAGTCTGATTCCGTTTTCAAAGTGTTGCCACCAGATATTAGAGGCCTGCATTATATTTAAAGAAATTAAATGATGATGAATCTGCATAAATGTATGTATATTTCTCGCACTGCGAAAAAACAACGGTACCTAGAGACATCAAATTTTGAATAACTTAGTCCTCCCCTCGAATATAAGCATCTGGAAGCCCAAATTTGGAATTTGTTTTATTATCTACTTCATATTTTGTAACAAACTCAACGATTCCAAAGCTTTCCATTCACATTAACGTCGCGGTCATCTTCGTCAATCAATATTTTATGCGCGAGGTTATTCTACACTTCTTACTGGAATAGTTGCGTAGCAACACAAAACCGTTACAATGTCTAACGGTAGGTTTTGCCGAATGTCTGTATCACTTTTCAAATCTAGTTTTGAATCCAGCGTGAAAGAAAAACGCCCTTTCGGCGTAATATAAAATTTGAAAGCTTTCAGATTTTTTCTTTTTTAAATTTGGGTGCTTTAACAGGAAACGTTATGAGCGAGATTTTATATATATGGAAGATATAGCAACTTGGTTCTAATACATTTGTAATTATTGTGAATATTAAATTTAATCAAAATAATTTAACTTTTAAAATCTATTTTGCCTCCTGCTTGTGTCTGAAGTTATAAATACACAAAAAACAAGCATTAATGTGATAAATGCACTCTTTAATACACATACAAAAATAAATACTTTACAACACTTTTCTCAATATGAGAAATGCATACTTATAAGAATAATTTACAGCCGTTGGGAGAATGTCACATTCGGCCTTATTCAAATGCGTATGAAACATGAAAAAGTGTGATATTTTAACACTACATGACACAAGATGAAAACAGTTCATAACAAGTCTCTTTATACAAACAGTATATAATTCAAAAAGGCAGTGATACATATGAATACAACACTGGAATAAATATCCATAGTTGCAATAGGAAACTTTCCAAAGGAATGTTAAGGAAGTGAGAGGAGAGTTATAATCTGAAAAGATGCACCATCTGAAACAATTTTCTTGAGTTGTATATAGTTATATACAAACTCTCAATAATATTTATAATCAAAATTTCACGTATGTCTAAAATAGACAAACACTAACTAAATTATTGTCTTTTTGCATAAGTAAATTACAGTAAAGCAAAATACTCTTTTATGTAAGCTCTAAATATAACTTCAGCATTGTATAACTAAGTACTATGCCGAAATTACAGCTTACTTTAAAACATACTTTGGAAAAATATTTTATAAGATACACTCAGTATAATAATGAATAAATATTTACTTATTAAATAATAAATTATGCTTCAAAGTTATAGTTCTGGAGATTTTTTTTAAATTAAAAAAAAAAATTGTGAGATCAATATTTTGAGATCTTATTTTCAGACAATAAGATTTTGCCCTTTCAATTTACATAAATATTCTACTTTACAGAAAGTCATTCATACAACCTGCTTTAAAAGTTTATTAAAATATCTATCTAAGCTATGTTCTGTATACAAGACAATGCCTTTGTCTTATTATTAGATAATTTGTCGAGGCAAAGCAAAAGAGAATTATGTGGCCTGGTCAAGGATACATTAGTGGAGGTATTTCTAAGGAAAACTGTCTCATATTTACGTTATTATATGCATGGGAAAAATTTGATGCCTAAAATTACGCTTTCTGTTACCCAGAATTGGTCTTGGAATAAAACTTCCAGAATGCAATGATTTTATCCATTCAAATGGTATACAAAGAACTTTTTTTATTATTTAACAAGAAATAAAAATTTCCCATAAGACTAATAATAATCTCATTAAATTGATCTATTGAGTTAAAGTATTCAAGATTATTTGCAAAAACATTTTATGAAATCTGAAACAAAATTACTAAACTTTTTTGTCCGGCAATGGTGTATTAGGTAAAGTTGCTTAGAACTAATTTCCTTCTAAATTAGATTTTTAGCAGAAGAGTCTGGTTTTATGATAATTTGTGCGACTTTCTTCATATGTAAAGTAAATTTAAGTCCTATTTTTCAAAAATAATCGTCCTCTAAAGACATTTTCTGGCTTCTTTTGCCGTATAACTCTTAATTTTTTCTATCTATGACAGATAGCTTTGCCATAGCTTTAAGCCATTTTACATTCAGAGAAAATTTTGTATTAGAGAATATTACAAAAAATATTGACTTTTAAGTTTGACTCGTTAGTCATCAAAAATTTATTCGCTTTTGAAAGATATATTTTCAAACAAATATCAGATCTCTTTCAATTAAATTAAACTGTGGAATTCCTTTCTATTTATCTTCAAAATTATAATATGCTTCAGCAAATCTTCAATTAACTTTGTTGTTCTCGTAGGCAAAGTTAAATTCAGATTGTTGTAAATGTGTTAGCATATTTGCCTCTTTTTCAGATCTAAATAATACAAAAATATAGTTCAGTACAGTACATACTTTATACTAAAAGCTACTAAATCGATTTCGATGAATGACTACTTGTATGGCCAATAATATTTGCCAAATAAATAACCCATAAAAATTGATGGGAAAAGAACTATGTGTATAGATTTATTATTCTTTGTTTAATCCGTAACAACTGCTTTTTTTTCTAAAAATATATTAAACGTGAGGCGTAATATCAGTTCTCCGTGCGTGCAAGGAATTTATCTTACAATATGCTAATGTGTATCTTTTCCTCTATTTGTTTATTTATTATTCACTTGAAGAGCAAAAACGTAATATACTTTTTTTAATGTCTCCAAAAAAGGGTACATATTTTTTCTAATTATATAATCCTGATGATGATGATGTATTATAATAAAAGGAAATAATTTAATCATTTGTGTTATAATAAATACAAATTTAGCGTGCAGAAAAAAGGAAAATCCATCTGTCCATATTTTTCGAATATCCGAACAGAGTGCGGTCACATTTAGTTTGAATATCTAGAATTCTACTGCGTTTATCACTGTAACTATTTTCAAATTATATTTTGTATAGCATTTTCACGTTTTTGAGCGATGTTTTCCCATGCATAAAGAATATAGGAAATCACACGTAACAGTAACTAACACGCAGTAAACGCGAGGAATTGACGCCATGCAGTTTGGAAGAGTAAAGAAAATACAGATCTATTGAGGCATCTGACAAAGAAAGTGAGAGAAACGTCAAAAAATTTAGAATTTTTTTGTTGTTGTTGAACTCAACTCAGCACAAAGATGCCAATATAAATCTGTTGGACCAATATATGCGAAAACCTCATTACTCTCACTGGCCTCAGCTTGGTTTATTGTTTGATATGCCAAATGCATACAGTGAATAGGCCCACCAGCGGCCGAGCGGTAAAGTCGCTAAACACTGGTAGTTCGGTCCGAGGTTTGAATCCCGCGAACGGGTTGGCTGCAGGGCGTTTTCGTGGTTTTCCCCATGTGTAACGTTTATACGGGCCAGTTTCCCTTAGAAAGTCCTCGACGAAGGCATCCCTTCCCTTAGGTAGATAGCCCTAGTGTGCTTTGCCATAATTAAATAAACCAAACCATACAGTGAATATGAAACAATTCAAAACATTACAAGTCTAGGAGTTAATAATACCGTCAATATCATACTTGCATTTCAAAGCAAAGGAATAGATTTCACTATATGTGCTTCCTGTATTGTGATATACATTTCTATACTGTTAAAAGTAATTAAATATTTCTATTCGCGATTGGGATCTGATAATTACATTGCATATTTTAATGCTATTTCAAAGCTTTACGTTTCTAAAGATATAACAGTTTTACAATACATTTTTCAAATTTTCAGTGACACAACAGCAGTTAATGAGTAGCACCGAAACGAAAAATTTATAAAAAATATATCTTTAATATGACAGTATTTTAGAACCACATTTTCAAGCTGCTAAAAGTAAGAGTGATGTAAAAATATATACAGGGATTATTTCATTGTGTATATTTTTATCATATTTTATATTGTTATTAGGAGGCAATCAGATGATCACGTTAGATCTATATATCACAAGAAAACTTTCTAAAGCAGTATCTTATACAAGAAAGTGCAGTACTTTCAATATGGCATACATTAGTCAGGTTATAAAAGATGTTCATTTACATCCTGTTCAAGTTAATCATAGCAGTATGAATAATAAAATTTCATTGAATTATTCAAAATAAAAGTTTCTTGAAAGGAAGAAACGTTATAATAGCAATTTTAAAAAAAATATATTTCAACTAGGAATATACAGTATCGTTTGGAACGCACTCTTAAATAGCTTAAATATGTACACCTCTTAAATAGCATATATACACAAATATACATATACACATAATTCTTATACATCAACAGACAAGACATCAGAAGCAATAAATAATTCTGAGATTTGGTTTGCATTTAATGACAACGTGTAGGAAATATGGCTCAGCCATTTTTCCTGTACAAAAATTCGTGTCATTGGAAGCTCTTTTATTAAAGGCATCTTTGGTTATAAGTCCAGGCACCTAAGTTTTCTGGATGATATCCTCGATGCATAATCTGATGTCGGTGACGGAGATCGCCTTCTCTCTTCGTGGCGGTTGTCAAAGTTCCCAGCAGCAATAGCAGCCACTGCCAAAGATCTTCCCTCCCCCATCACATCCTCGATAGATAAATTGCTTTCTTTTAACCGGGCTCTAACTAAGTGGTCAAGGAGGTATAAGTGTTCATCCCAAGCCTCTGGAACATGTTCTCTCATGAAATCTGCAAGCCTCAACAAATACTCCGCATTGTGCCCACAGTGACCGGCTGCTTCAGCTATCTCGGTAGCTACTTGCGGCAAGGGTGCAGGTCCCATGTAGAGACGACTGGACGGAAGGGCAACATACAGCAAAGCTGGAAAAGGTTCCTCTTTAGGATCTCTAGGATAGAAAGTCACAATAGTAGTAATATAGCCTCCAAGCTTCGCTTCTCGGCTGTCTAGATATGTTAAGGAACTCTCAGCACCAGCTCCCAGTAAGAAAGCTCGACCCCATGTCAGACCCTAAAAGAAAAAAAAATCGAAATTTTTATTGATGTTGAAGAAACAATGTTAGGAAAATTTGAGTATTTTAATATTTTGTAAAGAAAATAATGCTTATATTTATCCTGCGTTCAGACACCATGATGTAATATTTTCTGCTTTACAACACAGTTACTTTTTGTGTCTTGACACTGTTTATTATCGTAAATGCTGAAAAAGATCCATCCTAAAACTATGCAAACAGGCTGTTTAGGAAGCGTTTAGGCACCAGATTCCTACTGATTCTACTGGTGTTCATTATTACTGCTAATATTGAAGAAAAAGTATATAAATATTACTAGTCAAGTTGTTGGAAGTGTCTTCTTGGAGAAAAGCTGCTAGGTAAGTTTGGATCTCCAAGTTCAAATAACCACAATTTATAAAAAAAGTCTGAAAGAGTTCAGATTTTAACGTTCGCCTAAAAGGTTTTATTAAAGTTTTTTAAGCTCACACTGAGCTCGATGTCTATCAGTTTGCTGTTGCAGTCACTCCTGCCAGCTTTATTATTAAACGCCAAATTTGTAATGTGCAACTTATTTGAATTTCCGATAATAGTCGCCAAAGGTGTATACGATGTGTGTGTATACGTTGAGTGTAACAACGCATACAGTCTAACAACGGAAATTTCATATTTTGTTTTGATTTGGGAGGTATGAAAAACAACTATCAGGATCGTAGGAAGATGCTAGGTATATTTTACACCTGCAAAGGTTTCACAGTGATGGCATAAACACTTACGTTTTTGAAGGCCCTAAACAGAGCAAGAAAGGTTATCTAAGGAAATCAATTCATTTGTCGATTTTAAGATATTTTTCGCGAAATTTACTCAAACCAAATGGATTAAGATGCTGAAGAAATGTTACGCTACTGGTAATTAGATCTTCAGTGTAATTCGAAATTATATATGGCAGTCATATTGATTCTGGAGTATTTTAATGCTTATTATTAGACTGTCGCATTTAAATGACCACAAAAGTTAAATAATATTTCGTAAATGAACATTACATGCATAATAAATTTAAACGTAAAAATAAGCAATAATACTAACTTGTTCGTCTTCCACAAGCGTTGCCACTCTTCCTGGCTGAAAGGAGAAAAAAGAAATATTTTTAAATAAAAAGTGTAAAAAAATGTATAATACATTAAACACAATATACAAAATTAGTACAAAAACACAATTAGTACAAAAACACAATATACAAAAATACATATTTCCAAAACATTTTTCGTTAAGATTAACAATTAAGATGACATGTTATCTTAGAATAACAGATAGCTCATATTTCAAGCCTCGCTTTGAATTTATAATCAAAGAAATATACACATACATATAAAGATATTTCTATGAACTTTTATCCAGATAAATTCTTAAAACTTTTAAAGGATTTTGGTTGCATGGATTCTTTCTCTAATGAAGCTGAAAAGTTTTCATTACAAAATTCCCAATAAAAATTATTCGGCAAATGATTATTATTTTCCTTTCAGTTCGAAGCACATGTGAAGATCAAAATTAATTTTGAAAAAAAAAAAATGATTTAAAATTATTTGATGCAACTATTGCAGTTACTTACGACCGTTATAAATAAAAATTCCAAAATTTATGTTCCAAGTTAGCAGTTTCAGAATATTCTAAGTTTACCATTTCAGTATTAAAAATACTGAGTTAATCACTCTAGCATTAAAAATATTCCAAGCTAATCATTCCAGTATTCCGATAAGTCGTATTCAGTAACTAAGGTTTTTCATGTTAACAGTTACTGTTTTATTTATACTTTTTAAAAATTTTCTCATAACACTTGAATCCTAATAGCTAAATATATAGAACTAGTTAACTAAGGAAGATATGAAGTTTCAAAAGTGATTAGACAAATATCATCTTGTCTCAATACGGAATTCGAGGATAAATAAACTTAATTTTACATACACACACAAACGCATTTTTTATATTTTGCATATCTATATATTTATATATGTTAGTGGTGATTTCATGGAACCCCTTCCAATAGTTAAAAAAAAAAAAAAAAAAAAAAATTAACAGTATTCACTGTGCTCCAGGCAAATCAATTTTTTAGTGTAAAGTTCAACGTTTGAGTAATTTTGAGTACGAGTTTTTAAAGTATTTTTGAGTTAGCACTGAAAAGTAAAATAAAGGTAAGATATAAATTTATTGTTTTTAACTGGAAACTATTATATAAGAACTACATTTTACTGCTTAGAGAGAAAGAAAGCATCGGAATTTTAAAAACGGGTAGAAAAAAGAATAACTACGCACTTCCGAGAACTGAAAATATATTGTTTACAAACTTCGCAGTTTTTCTTGATATGGAATTTGGCAAAGTTTCTCGTCCGTCTAGATGGTTGTCAAGAATAAAAAATCGTGTCAGTGACCTCTTTTAATATGTCAGGGTTGTTTTTTTGCAAAATAATGGCGCTGAGTTTTGTTTATGCATTTGAAACAAACATGTTCGATGTATTTTTACTTGGGCAGCTTTAAGGTCTTGCTTGTTTAGAAGTTTATCATCGGCGACTGCCAACACTTATCAATGACATGATCGTCTCCATATAATCTCAACCATTTGGCTGCATTAAATGAATTGTTTAGGTTATGACAAAGCACGCGAGCGAAGACATATGTCGTTAACTTGAATCATCAGCTAGTAGTAAAGTAGTGAGTGCTCTTAGGAACAACTCTAGACCTCTAACGTTGCATGAACAGAGTCAGACGCCGTATTGTTGCCAAACTCCCGTAGTTAAAGTAACGTTGAGTTGCAAAGTGCAGTCAGTGGTTGACAATCCATATTGCTAACTAGATTAAAACACTGGTTGCCATGAAAAATAGTACGAGGTCTGATAACGTCCTTGTTAAGGCCACCGAGATAAAGTCTGTATTATCAATAAAAGTCCTTTCCTTTGTCATCAATAAGACCTCTCTCGTCAAATTCTCATGACAGATAAAAAGAAAAAATCACATATTTAGCTATTTTATCTCTTCCTTTGAAGCATCATTCGATAAATGTTTCTATATCTGTGCTGATTACATTATCAAGAAACGATCATTGACTTTCTCATGGAAACATTAAAAAAAAAAAATTATTTTTTAAACTATTGTTAGAAGCAAAAGAAAGAAGGTCGCAGACAGAGGGGCCACTGAGATTAAGAAAATTCCTCCAAAGCAAGTTTTCCGAGACAAAAAAGATTATAAAATTTGTGAAATGCTTATTCTGATTACATGATTATTTTACATTACACAATGTCAGGCCAGGAAGCTGATGGGAGAAAAAAAAAGAATAGGAAGATAAAATGAATCATAAGCAGAAGATTTGTAATCAAACAACTTTTTCTGTTCAAACAAAAATCTTATCTTAATTTTGATATCATTGTTAGAAATTACATTTCCTGAAAGCAGTGAACTTGAAAACAGTAGTTTCTTCCATGAAAATTCCGTATTTCAGGCAACAAAGATCACGCGAATTACTGCTATCTGGTATGTAAGATAAAGTTTCTTTAAAAAAATTAAGATGGTAAAAGTAGCAGTTTATAATCATGATTTCTGCAACTGTTTTTATTCAGCTGTATTTTATCTAAAATCATGATATCGTGCTTCTAACTCTGGATCGAACTTTTCGAAATGTAACTCTCTTCATCCGGATAGAAAAAGGTTTTACAAGTGCAGTACACTGCAATCTTTTAATGGAATCGAAGCACACAGAATTACTTAAATTCTCAAATAATAGATTACATACAAAAATGTCTGTAATGTCAGACGTTGAATATTTACTTTGGTCTGGCACTATTTCAAATCAAGAGAATCCAAAAACATGTTTTGCAAACTTTTGTTTTTATGATATGATTTAATTCTGTTGTAACTGTTGCAAAAGAGAAACTTCTATGTTTACTTGCCAAAAGCACTTGGCAGATAACTTCACCAGGGTTTAAAATCTTTATTTTGAAAGAGAAATTTCGATTAGATTAAACACTTTAAAAAAAAATAAATCCTTTAACGCAATACAGTATTATTGAAGACTGTTAAAATGCTTATCGAGCACTCCAACGCTACTGCCTGAGGAGGAATGGTTTCGTGAACGGCAGTCTAAGGAAAAATGGTTCGTATTCATGCTACATGTAAAGAAAAAGCATCTACCCAAGCCGAAGTGCCAAAGTTCTCGCCTCCATTACCTAATGCCTAACATTTTGTCCCAGTTCTGAAATACAGAGATGGAAATAATTAAATCTTGGAAGCATGCATGAAACCAATTAATTGCTTCTGGGAAGGGTTTCGGAATTTTTATGTTTCGCATGGAGCATGTGATCTTGAAAACTGCTTTGCTTACTCGCCTGTTTGTAAAATGTTTGCCTGCAATAACTTTATACTTTAAATTTCAGCACTTTTACAATTACGATTTACTGAGCAAAAATGATAAACAAATAAATGGGGAATTTCCTTTTATTCTGACCTTCGCCCATTCAATCTCCATTTAATGTTTTTCTTAGAATCAATCTACGCGCCAGAAGTGGAAGTAGATAATTCCTGGGTAAATGACATGAAGCTTTCAGGCTATGAATGAGCTTTTTCAATGGTGATTCATATCCTAAACGAGATTAGCGAAGGAAAGTGTAGACGGGTAACATCAACGTACAAAACAAGTAAACTAGATTTCATTCAAAGGCTTTACATGTCCCGCCCCTATAGGTTTATTGAGGCTTGGCTCGACGAATGAAAAATCTAGTTTTACAATAACACTGTGCAATTTAGACTCGAGCCGGTGCTAGCATTTTGGGGGCCCGGTGCAAACTCCGAAATTCTGTCGCCCGATTCCTTCTTAAATTCCAAAAATTATAAGGGCCTTAATTCTGCCCCTCGGTGGGGCCGCACTGGCTGCACGAGCTCATCACTGCGAGTACAAAATTTCTTTGGAATAAGTAGGCCTCTTCAGGCTTTGATTACTCCATTTCTTCAGCTCAGAACTAGATTAAAGTCTTAGGTTTGAAATTACGGTGCTATCTCAGGAATTTTAACGCTCAATGGACCTACGTAAAACCGATGTAAAGAACACTTAGATATGAACTCTGCTTTTGAACAATAGGCAACGGAGTATAATAATTATCTTTTCGATCATAGAGCCTTTTGCTGTAATGTACGATATCTTCTTCACATAATAAATATTTGTTATGTTCACTAAACATTTTTATTCATTGTATTAGATACTTTTTTTTTTTAGTCCAAAGGGATTTGAATCCCGAAGGACTATTAGTTTCGTTTTGGCATTTTGCGTCGGACTCATAAATGTCGGTTCACTTTTCAAACTGTTGCCACAAAATGTTAGAGTCCTGCATTATATTTGAAGAAATTAAATAATGAAAAATCTGCATAAATGTATGTATATTTCTCGTATTGTGATAAAACAACGGTACATAGAGTCATCGAATTTTGAATAACGTAATCCTCCAACGAATATGAGCATGTGGAAGACCAAATTTGAAATTTGAAATTTGTTTTATGATCGATTTCCTATTTTTTAAAACTTTGACGAATTTTTGATTAACAAACTCAAGGATTTCAAAGCGAGCAATGGCAACGTTGTGCAGAAAAAACATTTTTATCTCCAGCGCGTGAGTCTCTGTATCGGAAATTCTAAAGATATGCTCGTTTTAAAACTATTTTGCGATATTGCTGTTGCACTGGATCTTATGGTTTAAGTGCGAGGAACATGATATTTAATAAAGAAAGGTAACACACAAAATGTTAAAAAACGCCCCTTTGGACGTAATTTAAAATCTGAAACATTTCAGATTTTTTTTTTTTTTTTTTTTTTTTTTGGAGCTCTTGTTTTTGCAAAAGAAATTTTGAGAAATCATAGGATGTTTCTAGAGGCAATCCTAAACTAGATTTAAAAAACGACCAACATAAACCTAAAGCCTTAGACCTGGACTTTGTGGCCTATAATCAAACTCTGATGCGGTCTGTAGGCGCAGTGCTCATTCAGGAACCTCCAACGCCCATTTTCTTTGCTTGTATGAGAACTATGAGAAACAAGATATCAGAGACCTCCTAAAATCCGGAGTCGTTCCTGTGAGCCTAGATGG